GTGAAAAATGAAGAGATAAGTTTTAATTATTGTAATAAATGAACATTTTTTATAATCACAAATGAATAAAATGAAACAATTAAATTTAACCAAATAAAGTAATAAATATTTATTATTTTATCAATTTGATAATTGTTCGTAATAACTAAATTGATAAAATATTAGTTAAAAAAAGTTGAGAATGAGACTTTAATTCCAAACTTATCAAACTTTATATCAGGAATTTTTTACAACAAAAGTGTGATCAATAGGCTACAAGAACCTTCTCTAAAAAATTACTTTTTTTTTTTCTTGAACAAGTTGTCAAAAGACGAACTTGAAACCCGCTTATGAAAAAGGGGAATGCACCTCAAGCTGACAGGGTGTCAATTGATCCGAAAAATCAGATGTTACAAAATTATTGGTTTTAAACATTAATTAAAAAAAAGAAAGTTATAAACCCATAAAATCAACTGAATCATACACGTCTTAAATGCTGGGTTTGATTTTTTGCTGCCACCTTACAATGTTTTAGGCAAAAACCCACCTTAAGTCCCCAAACTTGCCCCAAAATAGTATTTAAACTCTTAACTAAAAATGAAGCAGATAAACCCTTTAATTTTACTAACAATGCAAATAAACCATTCTCACAAATGGACCAAATGGTATTTTATATTTAATATCACCTTGAATGAGAAGGACTTATTTGCATCATTAGTGGAGTTAGAGGGTTTATTTGTTTGATTTTTAATTTAAGGGTTTAAATGCTATTTTGGGGTAAGTTTGGGGTGCTTAAGAAGCGTTTTTGCCAATGTTTTACGTATATGATGATCTCATATTATCATCAGTTGTCACGTTAGCAATAGCAGCCTCCCCAACCCAAGGAAGCTTCCTAGGTTTAAACTACCTAAAATGCCAAACGTTGTCGTATTATCCACAAACGGCTACCAAGTAACAACCCCTTTCTATCTTCCAAACAGTTAGGAGAAACACAAACACCCCCCCGTTCCTCAACTGAAATCCCGGAATTGTCCTCGCTTCGAATTTCTCTTCTCGCCACCCCAAGGCTAGGGCAAATTGGAGAATCAAAATCCCCTGCCTACCTGGGAATACAAAATTAGCGTTTGAAATATTCGCGGAGGGGAAGCGGCGTGCGTGGGCTGAGAGGCGGTCATTGCCACAAAAACTTGGGGGAGAGGTCTCCCTCTCCAGCGCAACTGTGAAGACGATGAGTTCTATGCTAATGATATCTCGTCATATGCCTGCTCTCTTCCTCACCACCAGCTCTTCTCTGATCTCTTCGATTCTATCTCAACCAGCAACACCTGCCGCCAACGCAACCGCCGCCTCCGCCTAGGGTTTCTGGAAGGATCTCCCGCCTTCTTCGTATTTAAGGTAACGATTTTTGTTCCTGTCTCTTGCATTGGATTGCTGTTAGCTACGTTTGGATTTTCTGATTTAATGTTTGGTTTTTAGTTGTTTTTCGCTTTTTTTTTTTTTTTTTTTCCCTATGGCTCTGCTATATTTGGTGCTGAGATTTAATTTTTTCTGCTTGTCTCTCTGATTTAGAGTTTTAATTTTTGCTGTTTGTTCCTCTGAATCAGAGTTTTCTCATCTAGCGAATGGAATCTTTGTGCTATTTAGAAATCCGACTTGATTTAGAATTGTTCGATGCGTTTTAATTTTTCGGTTGGAATTTTTTTTGTTACCGTTTGGCTTATTTGATTTTTAGGTGTTCTCTTCTCTCCTTTCTAATAGATATGCAGCTGGTTCAGAGCTTGAAATATTTTTTCTTAAATTTAATAATTATCTCTCGATATATAAAGTAGCTATATGCTTTTTTTTTATTGATGCTATATTTGTTTGCTACAGAAACCCCAGGAATTCCGTATGATGTTGGTTATTGTAATTTTCTCCTGGATGTGGTTAACTGTTGTTTGACTTATTTTTCCTTTTAGTATGCAGCCTTCAATTTTTAAATATTAAACTTTGAATCCAATTCAATTTGGTTGTGTGAGGTTTTGGTTTTTGTTCTGTTGTCAAAGTTTTTATTATAGAATCAGAACCCAGAAAACTGTTTTTGTGATAGGATTGGTTGGTTTTTTGTTTTTTTCATCAGTACAATAGAACTTTGGGATTGATCAGAATTCGGGTGTTCTGACATCTATAAAGCCTAGTTGATTTATCTTTCATGGTTTTTAAAATATCATTCTCTCTTTCTTTCAGCATTCTATGTTACCTAACTTCAAAATGGTTATGTGACTTGTACTTCTGGTTGTGCAGAGCCATGCCAACATTTACGGCTATAACTTTAGAGAGGTTATTGGAACCTGGAGCATCTAAATCTGTTGACAAGTCTAATCCCAAGTCGAAACCACCTGTTCCTACCTCAAAGCTGGAGAGGAGAAATAGTACATCAGTTGCAGAGAGAAAAGTTTCTCGTCCTCAAATAACACCAGCCCTGTACGCCACTCCTGAGTCAACTCCACTTCCAGATTCGCCATCATCATTTCCTCCTTCACCATACATTGTCAATCACAAACGGCGTGGGCCTCGCCTTCTTAAGAGTTTCTCTGAGCTGGATGTATCATCTCAGCAAAAAGTCGTAGATGAAGAGATTGTTAATGGAAATGCTAAGCATGCAGAAAGCAAGTGTGCTGATTCATCAAATGGTGGTTCTGTTACTTTTAACATTGCTGATCCTATTGAAGAGGAGCATGAGAATGGTGTCCATGATAGCCCTATTAAAAAAGAGATTGCAAATGGTGGCCTTCTTGGGTCTGCTCAAAATGTGAATGGTGCCCGTGATGGTGAATCTGTAAGCAGTAATGGGAGAGTTAGAAGCAGTGACATGAGTAATGGTTTTACCAGGGAGAATGATGCACTGAATCTTGTTCCATTGAACTTGAAGAGAAATGGTGACAGTGAGGATTTCTTTGATCCACGGGAGTCAATGAGTGCCACCAGTACTAATGAGGCTGAGGATAATCCTGGGACAGAAAGTTCAGCAAGAATCATGACACCAAATGTGGAGTTTTTTGATGCATGGGAAGGTAATTTGTCTTAGCTGAGTTATTCATGTTTTTGCATGCAAACTGCACATATGTGAATAATATGTGTGTGCATGTTTGCCGATCTGCAAAGATGAATTTGTTAAGAGAAAAGTTCTTGTAATGTTCATCATTCATATGTGCACATCTGACTGGTGCTGAAGGAGATGTTCTATCATATTTGCAACCATTGTTATATTTTGATTTTGGATGGTAGTAGTGAATTGATTTACCTGGTAGATGAATCTTTGTTGCAATTTGAAGATTTTTCCTTCCATGGTTTCTTATATAGGAACTTAACAATAAAGAGTCTGGCTAACTCCATGGCTAGCCCTAGACAAACAAGGCATTAATCAGGGGGTTTTTAACACTGAAGTGCCCTATTTATTTGCTAATTCAGATGTCTTTTTGTTTACATGCCTGACGTGTTTCTCTGTCTTAGTCTGTGGGGAATATACGATTATTATTGTTGAGCGATTGAGAAATATATAGAATTGTTTTCTTTTTTTCCATAATGTATCTTAGTAACTGTGGATGAAAGTACTTATTGTTGGAATTTTTAACAATAGATTATGTACTGTATTCACAGAGCTAATTTGAGTTATCTTTATCTCACAGAATTATCCTCTGAGAGTGGACAGCTGTCCTCTTCACTACATGACACTGATGCTGAGCTGCATGAGATGAGATTGAGTTTATTGATGGAGATAGATAAGAGGAAGCAAGTTGAAGAAGCTCTGAACAATATGCAAAGTAAGTGGCAGAGGGTCAGGCAACAGTTAGCTCTTGTGGGAGTGATACTGCCTGCAAATCCCATTGATATTTCAGAGGATGATCTACTGGATCCTGCTAAAGAACTACACCGACAAGTGGATATTGCTCGATTCGTATCAGATACTGTAGCTAGGGGGATTGCAAGGGCAGAGATGGAGATAGAGATGGAACCTCAGATTGAATCAAAGAACTTTGAGATAGCCCGATTGATTGACCGACTACATTACTATGAGGCTGTTAATCGAGAAATGTCTCAGAGGAACCAAGAAGCCATAGGTGAAATTTTTGTTCCCTGAATTCTCTTGCGTCTTTGTTAGCCTGTCTTTCATGTTTACAATTAGATTTGACTTGTGCCATGAGCTAACGTTCATACACAACTATCATAGGGGTATTATCTGTCAGTGTGCTTTTGGTCTCTTGTGCTTTCTGCAGACTGTAATTATTATGATTGGATGCTTTACGAAAAATTTTTGTCCCTTGTGGAAATCTTCATTAGCTCATCAAAGTTTCAGACTACTAAGTTTAACAAACACAAGAATCTCAATTTATTAAATGCAAATGTTATTTTAAAGTGAGAATCTCTTTGTTGGTCATGATGTGGGTTGAATTTTATTTGCTGGAAATTTGTCTTGAGAAAATGAAGTGTTTTATTTGCATTGGTCTAGGTAATCGCTTATCGCATCTGGATGACTGATGGTTTTTTAAGGAAGCTATTTAAAGAAACAATGTCGTTTGTATTTTCATTTTGAGATGATCTCTTCTACTTACTGCTTGAGTTTGTTGTGGAAAGACCAACCAATTGTTGTTTATTCTTAGATACTGGCGTTGTGTTGTTTTTGCTTGTAGTTATTCTTGCTAGTTCTTAATTTTGGCATAAATGAATCATGAATATGCCCTTCTGATTTTTGGAATTTGTCTCCTTTGAATAGAGATGGCACGGCGTGATAGACACAGGAGGGAAAGAAGGCAAAGGTGGGTTTGGGGTTCCATTGCCACTGCAATCACTCTTGGTACAGCAGCGTTGGTGTGGTCTTACCTCCCAACAGACAAAGGATCTCCTTCTCCTAGACCTAGTCGTTCAAATGCTCGTGGTCATGATGATTGAGCCAAGTGAAGTGATAACATTCTCCCAAGAATGGGCTATATGATATGACATAACATCGTAGAAGAAAGGTAGAATAAAGGATTGTACATTCTGGATATTGAATAGCAATCTGCTACTTTTGTTAGCAGTTCTTTCTTTTGTTCCATGAGGCGTCAGGTGATGTAAAGTATCATCAAAATACCATTTTTCGAGGACTTGATTTTGCCCTTTCTTGGCAAATTGAGTGAGAAATATGTATGAATTATTTTGTTCTTTGCTGTCCAAATGTCTACGTAAGGAATTGCAAGGTTGGAATGGATCCTTGCAAAGTTTGTTTTTTTTGTTTTTGTTTTCTTTTGTTTTTGTTTTTCGTTTTTATGTTTTTTTTTGGCTAACATTTATCATCGAAAGTGTTTTATGAAGAGTGGTTCATACAAAATTGTTTAGCAGTCTATTATTTATTAGATGAGAAGAGATTTATATATATATAAATTTTATACAATTTATTTTTATAAAATCTGGATTATTTATTTTGATCATTTATTTTTTTTATTTTTAATAATTGAAATTTATCATATTTTTTAAAATAAAAATAATTATTTTTAATAAATAGAAATAAATCATAATTATTGAGAATTAAGAGATAAATTATTAAAATTTTATATAAATATATTATCTAAAATGTATATATATATATGTGAATTTTTACTCTTATAGGACAATGAGGAGTCCCTAGTAATGAATATAGGCTAGTAAAAATGTAAAATGTAGCTTAACAGTCTGAAAAATAATTTTAGGGGCTTGATTGCTAAAGTTAATAAGTGAAGGGGCCGAGTACGAAAAACGATTGGCATACTATTTGGAATAAAACATGAAAACGCAACGTTTTATGCCAAATAGTCAGAAGATATAAAGCTGACCTCTGCTCTTCGAAAGGGGGATAAAAAATAATTAAAAATAAAATTAATAAATTATCCAGTTGTTCAGAGAAAATGTAATGCAAGCACTGAGTCGAGACCATTACCGGATAGCAATGAAGCTATCAACAGCACTGCCGCGACCTCCGTCAATGGAGGTGGCGATTCACATTTCTCCGACCAGTGTAGGAGAAAGATTCTTCACCGTCAGAGATAACAGGAGCGCTCTGCTTTCTCATCTTACAGGATACTCGTATAGAGAAGCTCGACTGCGATTCCAAGCGAAAAGCGTTCAGGGCGGGAAATCGAACCGGAACAAGTTTTCCTCGTCTACGATTAGACAACGAGAATTCGGTGGAAACATTCTCGATGAAGAAGATGACGGAGAAGGGACAAACTTTAGCGACGACGAATCGTCGTTTCTGTCTTTGAGTGAAAAACCAGATAGAAATATGGCTTTGCTTGACGAATATGAGATGGATGAGCTTGACTGTTCTTCTACCTCTAATCACCGCAGCGGTTTGTTTCTTCCTATTAATTTTGCTTTTACAATAATATTATCTGCAGTCTGTTTCGCTGTTGTTTGTGTGATTTAAGTCTTTTGAATTGAGGCAATTTTCACAGCTATAATAGCTTCTGATATGAGATAGAGCGATTATTCATCACTTCTTTGTTGTAATTTCCTGTAAATGGATATAGATTTTTTCTTTTTAAAGAATAGGAATCGAATTTTATGGAGGAAATGCCAGTTTTTGTATAGAGGAGATAGTAGTTGCTCATGAGAGTTCACTATGCAGCCAGGAGGACTAGGTCTGTACCAAAGAAGAAGTATTAGATGTTTGGACACTCTAGTTGTTTGTTGATCCTAGATGAACATTAGATGATCCCGTTGTCATATTAAGGATTCCATGATAGAGATTTTGACTTTTGCAGTATCAGTTGTTTTGGATCATTGATGCCATTATTATGCATTGAATTTGAGAAAGAGGAGGCTTAGAAAGGTCACTTTTACAATATCTCCAGCGTCTACTAACATATGTGTTGACTTTATATTTTTCCTTGCGAAATGTAAAAAACCATTTAGAGCAAGAAATTTAGGAGGTAGAAAAATGGATCGGAATAGGATTTTATTAAATGGCAAGAAAGATTCTTAGATCTTGTTGAACTTTTTAAGTTTTTTGGCTTGATTTTTATTCCTTATTCTTTAACTTTTTATTATAAGAAAGTCTATGTTTATACACTTTGTGTAGTAGTTTTATATATTATGAGTGAAATGCAGGTTATGTGGCTGTACTTGGGAAGCCAAATGTTGGAAAGAGTACGCTTGCAAACCAGATGATCGGTCAAAAGTTATCTATAGTTACAGATAAACCTCAGACTACAAGGCATCAAATTCTTGGTATATGTTCTGGCCCGGAGTATCAGGTTTGATTATTTTCTTTGTTATAGCTAGTTGCTTGTGTTAGATTTTGGTCATCTAGAGCTATTGTAGGTGCTCTCATGGAATAAGCACCTGTTCCTGAAATGTCACATGTCAAAAATTTGACAGCAATTGTGTCCTGTTTTCTTCTCAGATTATCTTCAGCATGGTATTATGTTTTACTGTAGAGAATTTGAAAATTTGTTGGTTCCAATACAAAAATCACTTCTCTTTTGAATTGCATTTGTGCACCACAAGAGTAGTAGAGTGAAACAAGTAATGCCATTTTATTTTTATTTAAATATTTTTAGTTTTAAATATGTGCTCATCTAATGCTTTAAGTGACTTTAGATTTGATGCCTTAATCATTTGTTATGAATATTTCTTTGTATAGCTTCACAATTACCTGCACCGAAGAATTCTAATTTGTTGATTAATGCCATAATATGATCTGGTATCAATCATTAAGAGTCTTGGAATGACCATTTTGAAAATGGGAAAAAAAAAAGTACAGTGTTTAAGTCATGAAATATTTCAATTTCTACTTGGTGATATTGGATTTCAAATATTTCATTTAGTGGTCACTGTATTCAGTTCATATGTGTATCAAGCTCCTGGATCCTTTAGGGTCTCTTATCTTCTGTTTCTTCTTCCTTTGACCTAAGGTTTTGCTTTCAGATAATTCTTTACGATACTCCTGGTGTCATGGGGAAGAAAATGCACAAGTTGGACTCTATGATGATGAAGAATGTTAGAAGTGCTGCCATAAATGCAGATTGTGTACTAGTTGTTGTTGATGCATGTAAAGTGCCTGAAAAAGTATGTTTCATCTTTTGTAGAATTATTTGTGAAACTTTCTTTTCCATTTTCATAATATCACTGTGTTATGTTTAGATTGATGAAGTGTTGGAAGAAGGTGTGGCAGAACTCAACCATAAGCTGCCCACTTTGCTCGTCCTGAATAAGAAAGATCTAATTAAACCTGGTGAAATTGTGAAGAAGCTTGAGGTAACAATTTCTTGGTTTGTATTTGTTTTGTGATATGTAAATCTGTCAAGATTTTATGATTGAAATTTGCTGAGGTCACTGGTGGAATGGTTGAAATATAAATGCTGTACAGTTCTACCTGATAGGGAGGCTTATTTTGCAAATTCTTATCATCTCATCAATGAGACTGTTAGTTCACTTGACAATTTTGTAATATTACTCTGTGCCTGCCCTTCATAGTAAAATAATAAAACCCTGTTGAACCTTGTTCCAGCATGGCTGTTTATTCATGTGATTGAGAGCACCTTTTTATCTCCTCTTTGAGAGTACTTTTCTGGTTTGTATTTGCGATAATCAATTATTTGCAATTGGAATGTTTTCATGCAAGTGTAATGCAATTAGAGCCATCTATATAGTCATTTTCTCTTGTTTCCATACTCTTTTGTTAATAGATTATTTAAATTGTAATCTGGTGTTTCCTTGGTAGTGGTATGAGAAATTTACAGATGTTGATGAGGTCATACCAGTGAGTGCAAAATATGGTCATGGGGTAGATGATGTCAGAGAATGGATATTATCAAAACTTCCAGTTGGGCCAGCTTATTATCCAAAGGTATAAATTATATTGAGAACAAATTCAATCTGTTTCTTTTCTGTCTAGATCATTAGGGGGTTATATAGAAGCTAATAAACAAATCACATTCACCTTTATATTATTCTTCCCGTACTTGAAGTTTCTAATAAGGAAATTGATTGAATCTTGTATTTAAACACTTGCATATTTTGAGTTCTCAGGACATAGTCAGTGAGCACCCGGAAAGGTTCTTTGTAGCGGAAATTATCAGAGAAAAGATATTTATGCAGTATCACAATGAGGTTCCTTATGCATGTCAGGTATATTAATGTCTCTCAGGATTGGTTTGTTGATTTCGTCCACCCATTCCTGCATTTTTATCCTCTTTCAACCAAACTAAACACATTCGTTATAAATCTTTGGTTCATTAAATGTCTTCATTTTTAAAATTTTTGAATACCAGGTGAATGTGGTAAGCTACAAAGCTAGGCCAAATGCAAAAGATTTTATACAAGTGGAGATTCTTGTTGAGAAAAACTCCCAGAAGATCATTCTTATTGGAAAAGTAAGTTTCATGGTTAGCAGAAGATTCTGAATGATTAGGCTTGATTCATTGTTTTACAAATCTCCTTTGAGCTAGACACATGTTTGACATGTTGGCATGACCATGCCGGTTGGTTTATCTGATTTCATGTGTCCTCTTCCATTGAAGGAAGGGAGAGCTCTAAAACTACTTTCAACTGCTGCTCGGCTTGATATTGAAGATTTCTTACAGAAGAAAGTCTACCTTGAGGTGCTAACTTAAACTACATTTAGTCAATTAACTAGCCATTTTACAATTACCTGATGCTTCACTAGTGCCTCCAGTTGGTTAATGCTGCAGGTGGATTCTCACTGCCATTGTTTTTAAAGATCTTTATCATATTTTAGCAAAATTACAACTCCTCTTGGTTTGTTAATTCATAGTGCAAGATATTCGACTGAAGTCAACCTACTCCGTAAACAGGTTGAAGTGAAAGTCAAGGAGAATTGGAGGCAAGATGAAGGCCTTTTAAAGCACTATGGATATGGGGGACAGATTCAAGTTCTATAACTATAACCCCATAGTTCCTTTGATTTTCCCAGTCTACACCCACCCCAATTGAGTATTTCTTGTAATTGTAAGGAGTTACATGTTGTATGATAAATCTTTGAATTGATTTTTGACTGAGGTGGCTTAAGAAGAGCTCTTCATCAGCTTCACTGACCGATATAATGCGGTGTGGTCGCAATTAAATCGAGAAGAACTCTCAAAAACTCCCAGGCATCGTAGTTCGTACAGACAAAAAGGTTAGCCTGTTTGGGCCCAAAAGGTGGTTTGTTACTTGTTATAAATGGTCCAACTACTGGATATGCCTTTAATATGTGGAGCTTAATGAATCACCGACTCTTCAAATCCATGAAAGGTATGTTGTGTTTTATGCGTGTCAATTGGAGTCGGGCAGGACAGCACGTCACCACCCATTTGCGCATGTTACCAAATGCTATCATGCGGTTTAACACGCGCACGTTACTGTGGTTCGGCCACAAATGCTATACATCTAACATCTGTCGCACTGTCTTGCCCATTTCGATGGAGCATGGGACAGACATCGGCACATGTACCTCACATCTTCATTTAACATGGAAATGAAATGAAAGTGGTGGGTTATTCAAAAGGGCATTTGATGCGGCTCCTCACATGGCCTTTAGCCTTCCACTAGTAGTTCCGTTGGGATTGGCAAAGCTAGAACTTAAGAAAAAAAACACACACACAATTCCATATACTCTCTTTCAAAATATATATAATTTAAGTTTTATGCAAGTAACTTTAGATAATATTTTGTTTAAAATTAAGATTTATTTACACATAAATTTTACTTATTATATTTATATAAAATTTTAATTATTTTTTTTTATTTTTAATGGTTAAAATTTATTATTTTTATCATATTTATTAAACGTAATTATTTTTTTTAAAAAAAAATCGTGATAAATGTTAATATTGAACTTGAAAAAATAAATGGTTAAGATTTTGTATAAACATAGTATGTAAAACTTATATGTAAATAGATTTTTATTTTATTTTATTATAATATATGAATGATAACTGAGATTTTTTTTTATACAATTGTTGTTGAGTGATTTTGTTCTAAAATAAATTTAATTATCATTTATATACACTATAAAAATGCATAATTTGAAAATACTTGCAAATAAGTCAGATGATTTATATTCTGAAATAGGAGTATATATTTTTATAGATTTGTTTAAACTATAGTTTTAATGTATAAATTAAGAATGTATTAATTGTATATTTCAAATTAATCATCACAAAAAATAATAAAATTTAACCTCATTTTTTTCACCAATGTAAGCTTTTAATTGGATGATTGGTAAAATTAACAATAAATTTTAATTTCTCTATACAAATTAATTAGAAAAATACCTAATTTATACACTATTAAGGAACAAATTAAAAAAACATTTTTGTTTTTATTTAAAGATTCTAGCTCTTAAATCTGCAAGTAGTACTAACATAGGAAAGCAGTCAGGATGCTTTTATGTCTTTCTAACAATATCTGCAAACGATAAAGAAGATCCAATGGTTGATATTAGGAGTAATATTTTGCACAGCGACTTCACACCCACAGTTGCTTTCTCCTAGTCCATTGTCCCTTTTCCCTTTCCCCTTTCCCCTTTCCCCTTTCCCCTTTCTCTTACAACCCCACATGTTTGCCATGCATACCTATCAATATCATGCCAGTGACCACACTCACCATGACTAACCGACTAAATGGTAACTAAATTACCTTTGGGGCCAAAAACAAGAAGTAAACTCGAGGAAGGGGTGTAGAGCGTCTGGTTAAGTTATTGGTAAAAATTTACCTTGGGATTTCTATAATCAAGGTTTAAATTCTTATTATTTGTCTAATTTTTCTCTCTTTTTTTTCAGTTAATTATTTTAGTTTTTCATATTTGAGTCCAGTGATTTGTCACTTCACTGTTTATCGAAATTTCGAATGAAATGTTTGACTCTCCAAAGATCCCCATCACCATCCCCTTTAATATTATAGGTGTTCACCTTTAATATTGTAGATACGATTATGTTGTGTCTTATAGAAAAACCAGTAAGTAAGCGCTGGAAGTTGAAGTATCTTTTTCAATGGCAGTTGCCGTTACTCTTTATTATTATTATTTTTTTACTGTTGGCAGTTCTAAAGCCGACAAGCTATAGCTTCAGGCTGTAATTAAACAACAGTTTTTAACACCCTCATCCTCTTCTATGTCCTTATTAAGGGTACCCTCCCTCTATTTAGCCACAGAGATTTCCTGTCTCCAAAGTGTCTGTGTATATCCCTGAGAGAAGCAAACAGAGAGTGCAATGAGGCATTTCACTTTGGTTCTTCTTCTTGCCCTTTTGATCCACCAAAATTGTTTTAACAACATCCATGTTGAAGCAGGAGATGGTTTTGTCAGGACCAAAGGAGTGAACTTCCAGTTGAATGGCAGCCCTTTCTACGCCAATGGGTTTAATGCCTACTGGCTAATGTATGCTGCATCCGATCCCTCTCTGAGGCCCAAGGTCTCAGCTGCATTTCACGAAGCTTCTGTTCATGGCCTCACCGTCGCCAGAACTTGGGCTTTCAGTGACGGTGGCTACCAACCTTTGCAGTATGCGCCTGGTTCCTACAATGAGGGAATGTTTAAGGTATCTTTGGCTGATTCTTTCTAGTTTTCTTTGTTTTTAAATGTTTTTAAGTTCCTAATCTTGATGATTTGGGTCTCTTTCTGATTTTCCCATTTGGAAATGGTGTAAAGGGGCTGGATTTTGTAATATCTGAAGCAAGGAGGAATGGAATCAAGCTGATACTGAGTTTTGCCAACAACTATGAGAGTTTTGGTGGGAAGAAGCAGTATGTAAACTGGGCAAGAAGTCAAGGGCAGTACCTGAGCTCTGATGATGATTTCTTTAGAAACCCTGTTGTCAAGGGCTTCTACAAGAACCATATAAAGGTAAGCCACAAGCTCAGAAAATGGACTGGGAAACAAATCCTACCCATGTTTCTTTCTGGATTTTGGTCTTTAAATATGTATCATTTTTCATTTCTCCTTTTGTTTTCAACATTGGTTTGTCCCTTTTTTCCCTTTCTTCAGAGAGTTCTTCTTTTCAACTTTTTCCCCCATTTCTTTTTTTTTTTTTTGGGGTGGGACGGGGGTATATGGGTGAAAAAGACTGGAAAATTGCTCTATTTCTCAGCATCTACTGTGAATTTTGGAGTTCAAAATGTCTGTTCTAATCTGTCCATGATTTTTGACAGGCTGTTCTTAACAGATACAACAGCTTTACCAGGATGCAGTACAAAGATGATCCAACAATTATGGCCTGGGAGCTTATGAATGAGCCTAGATGCACATCTGATCCTTCTGGGAGAACCATTCAGGTCTCGATAACGTTCATTCTATTGGTTATTGTTTACACTTAAAAAACGGATTTTTGAGATAACAGTTACATTTTAATTTCTAATCCAACATTTTTCTAAGCTTGATTTATTCTAAATCATGGCCTTTCAAGTCACTTTGTGTGACCAACGACCATCAATTATGTCAAGCACATGCAATTAATCATAAAGATGCCTTTCATGATACGAAAATGTGAAGGTCCACATCAATTTAGTCTAAATGATGCCATTAATGAATGTTAGATTTTGCCACAATCCCACATTTCATTTTTACCTCGGTGAAGGCTGAGACTCCTTGGTTAATCTAAAGGATGCCCGAACATTAGATGTCAACTAGGTTCTTAGGTAATTCATTCACTTTTCGCCTTACATTAGCAAAGAACTTGATCTTAACTTGAGGTTATTTGTCTTTTGTGTGATAGGCTTGGATAATGGAAATGGCTTCATATGTGAAGTCAATGGACAGAAATCACCTGCTGGAAGCTGGCTTAGAAGGGTTTTATGGGCAGTCAACTCCTGAGAGGAGGAGACTGAATCCCAGTTTATATATTGGAACAGATTTCATCGCAAATAACCGGATCCCTGGCATTGATTTTGCAACAGTTCACTCCTATCCTGACCAATGGTAATAATTTGATGGAATCTATTTTTGTTGTTATATAGTTTTAGATTCTACACAAAGCCGAGCAAAAGAAAATAGTTTTAGATTCTAATTTCAAATTTCATTACCCTGTTACTCTGTAACTTGGAGGAGAACCAATTGATTATTGCAGCCAAAAATAGGTTCACTAAGAGAGCTGAGAACCTTTTTATTTATAGTTAATAGAGTTAGAACTGAGACTAGCCATTAGTGCCATAAGATTGACCAAGTTAATATGCCAACTTTCACTTGCTTCCTAGTTGAATTCTGAAATATCAATGGTAATTGTTTATTGAGCAGGTTATCCAGTTCAAATGATCAATCTCAGCTTTCCTTCTTGAACAACTGGCTTGACGCTCACATTCATGATGCACAATACATTCTCCAGAAGCCAATACTGCTTGCTGAATTCGGAAAATCTGGGAAAGATCCTGGCTTCAGCAGCTACCAGAGAGATCTATTGTTCAATACTGTGTACTACAAGGTATACTCATCTGCAAAAAGAGGTGGTGCAGCTGCTGGAGGCCTGTTTTGGCAACTTCTAACTGAAGGTATGGACTCCTTTAGGGATGGATATGAGATCATTTTTAGTGAGAGCCCCTCAACAGCAAATTTAATCTCCCAACAGTCTCACAAGCTCTATCAGATTCGTAAGCTTTTTGCCAGAATGAGAAACTTTACAAGATGGAAGCGTGCAAGGGCTGTAAGAAGGGGTCAATGGCCTGGTAGAAATGGGGGTAGGCACATAGGAAACTGAAAAGATGCGCTTGCTAATGCAAAATTGAGGCCCTTATTTCCAAATTGCAACCTCTCTGGTGTCTAATATATGAAGTGAAGATAGTTTACAACAGTTTGTAAGGTTTCTCTCTTAGTGATGAATGTTGTTCGTCCAGGAGGATAGCTACGCTAGTATATGACTGTTTCTATATATTTTTATTAAGCTGTCACTTGTGTTACTAAGGAGACTCTATTTGCTTGGAAAGGAAATGAAAATTGAGACCTTTCAAGCTTGTTTGTTTCATGATGTTAATCATGTTGTACTTCTATGTCTTGGATATGAAATTATAGATACTTTTATCTGTTTTTCTGCAACATAAAAAGATTTTGCTTTCTCTTCCTTATCAAATCAGAAAAGCAGAATGGACTCCACAGCTTAATACCAAGCTTCTAAATGTGGGGTGATCCCCTCCATCAGTGGTCATAATTTTACAATCTGAAGTAGTTACAACTGCAAAAACTACTTTTTAATTATCGAATTATAGCTTCTGTACCAAGACTCATTGCCAAAAGTCAAATTTCTTGTTCCTTCTGCTTCCTAGCAATTTGGGTCGTCGACCGGTCCATATCTTGAACAATGATAGCATCCTTGGGCCTAGTTGTTACAACAAAGAATATGGTGGGCATTCTGTTAGTATTGGGATTGGAGCCAGAAACATAGACAATAGGCCCAGCGCGCTGCTTTGCTCTCGAACATGTTTAACCACTTCGGTTAACGAGGTCGAATCTGCTTCTCTAAAAGAGATGCAGCAGTCGGTTCGGATTCCTAACATCAGAAGATTATGTTCCGCCACAGCCATTGCTTCCGTCAGACACGGCGGTTCGAGGACAAGACCAGACAACTTCTGCCCCCAAACCATGCCACTGATCATGTAGATATGGTGGAAGTCAATTCTCAACTAAAGCAACTCGTGAAGACCGGCGACTTACGGGATGCTCGACGAATGTTCGACAAAATGCCTCATAGGAACGAGATTACATGGACTGTGATGATTTCTGGTTATGTCACCGATATGGATACCTCTGGAGCTCTGGTTTTATTCTCCCTCATGTGGTTTGAACCAGGGGTGCGGATGGACCCCTTCATTCTTAGCCTTACATGCGCTTAAGGCTAGCGTGCTTAATTTGAATGTGAGCTATGGAGAATCACTGGACGGGTATTTGGTGAAAACTGGTTTTTTGAACTCAGTTTTTGTACGTAGTGCCCCCTTGGATATGTATTCGAAATTTGGCAAAATTGAGCAAGGTTGTATGGTTTTTGGTGAAATGCCTCCGAGGAATGTAGTATCATGGACAGCTATTATTACTGGTCTGGTTCATGCCACTTACCATAAGCGAGGGTTATTGTACTTCTTTGAAATGCGCAGATCAGGAGTGAAGTATGATTCACATAATCTAGCTATTGCATAGATGTGTGCAGATTTAGGTGCTTGGAATTGGGGAAGGGAAATACCCACGCATGGTTTAATGGGTGGATTTGATGTTATTACATTCGTGGCTAACTCTCTTGCTAGTATGTCCAACAACTGTGGGCAATTGGACCATGGCTTGTGTTTGTTTGAAAGGATGAGCACGCCAAATGTGGTTTCTTGGATAGCAATCATATCAACTAATGTTCGGCTGAGACAAGAAGAAAATGCTATGAGAGCATTTCTAAGGATGCGTGAATCCAGTGTATGTCCTAATGAGTTCACCTTTGCAGCAGTCATCTCTGGTCGTGCAGGTATAATGAGAATTGATTCGGGTAAGCAATTACATGCCCATGTTTTGTGTCTAGGTCTTGCAGATTCTTTATCGGTGGCCAAATCAGCAATTCCATTATGGACATGTACTCCAAATGCAGGCAGCTAACTTCGGCTTCAATTGTGTTTCGTGAAATGACAAGAAAAGATATAATATCTTGGAGCACTATTATTGCAGGGTATTCTCAAGGAAGTTGTGGTGAAGAAGCTTTTCGATATCTATCATGGATGAGAAAGGAAGGACCAAAACCAATGAATTTGCTTTTGCTAGTTTGCTGAGTCTGTGTGGAAATATGGCAATTCTTGAGCAAGGAAGGCAGCTTCATGCTCATGTCCTCTCCATTGGATTAGAAAAAATAAAAATGATTCACAGTGGAGTAATCAATGGGTACTCAAAATGTGTGAGCATAAAAGAAGCTTCAAAAATATTTGATGAGGCAGAGTATAATGATATCATGTCATGGACAGCCATGATTAATGGGTTTGCTGGACATGGTTTTAGCTATGAAGCCATTGATTTGTTTGAGAAGCTTCCCATGGTTGCCTGGAACCTGACTCTGTGACCTTCATTAGTGTTCTTATTGCTTGTAGTCATGCGGGACTGGTTGAACTTGGTTTTCACTACTTCAATTCAATGAGCAAAGAGTACCAAATAGGTCCTTCAAAAGAACACTATGGTTGTATGATTGACCTCATGTGCCAAGCAGGATGATTAACTGAAGTAGAGCACATGATAAAAAGTATGCCACTTCAAAGGTATGATGTTGTTTGGTCAACACTTCTAAGAGCATGTAGGGTTCATGGTAATGTTGACTGTGCAAGACACGCTGCCGACAAGATCCTTGAACTAGATCCAAATTGTGCTCCGACCCACACCTCACCTTAGCTAGCATTTATACCGCTGAAAGGGAGATGGAGAGAAGCAGCAATTATTAGGATGATGATGAAATCAAAGGGGGTTACCAAGGAGACAGGATGCTCCTGGATCAAGGTAAAGGATCAGGTAACTGCATTTGTCACAGGTGATCGATCTAATCAAGAGAGTGTAGATATATATGACATCTTGGATTTACTAGCTTCAAGGGTAGAAATTGCTATTCAGCGGTTCGATTCTCTTCTGGATGATTTAGAGGATTAGCACGCAATAAAGTTATACCTTGTTTCTTTGCAGATTTTAGTTCTGTATGTAGCATTGTAGCTACAGGTGCATAGCGGCAGGCAGCTACTTGTTAGTCATTAATTTGAAAATGGCAACATACAACAGGCTGAAGCTGGATTTGGGGTTACTAAAAGTTTATTGGAATATATGAGAGAATGCAGAGGAGTCGTGAATGAAGAGGAGAGAGAGCATACCAAAAGATGCACTTTGGGGTGTTGAAATTACCTTAAAAATCCTGAGACTCTCTCTTTCTATGCAGCTTGAGATTATAAGTTATGTTGCAAAGATGTTGTACCGAATCATGCATTGATATTAAGGTCAAATGAACTTTATCAGTATAGCTCTGCCATGTGAAGCCATGCACTACCTTTAAGGCAAGGCAAGTTTTGACACTCATTTGAGCACATCTCTGGGAAATACAATCAGAGAAAGGGAATCCCAATACAAGTATGTTAGTTTCTAATGCTGCAGTCTCTGATGCCAATCATTCAAGCAGTTGCTAAAACTTGTAGCCATGCTTCATCAGTTCAATTCATTCAGGGCACAAATTGTTGGGACATCATCGAAGGTGTGGCAGCTCCTAAGTAGATTAGTGGTTGATCCAAATTCTTTGTTTGGTCACACTGAATTATGCAGAAACTTCATCTTTCGTCTCTAAACCAATTGCGAACAACATATGCAAGAAAGCCTAGAGAACATCCTGCAGCACCCAGAACAACAAGTATCCGTACCCACAAGGAGGAAACAAATGCTTCCAGGACAATGAAATGCCATGAAAGAAACCACAGAATGGAGAAAACTGCACCACATGCAGCACCCACCAGCACTTGACTCATTGTATGAAGCTGTTGCGACACTCGTAACCATGACTGCAACCACAGATAAAAATGTCATCTTTCTAGCTCCAAATTCTGAATCCCTCAATATAAAAAATGTAATTATCTGAAATACTCACGAGATATGAAGCAAATGCTAGAATTAGCAGACCGGCGATGAACAAGATTCCGTTGATCCCAAGCCATTCCATGACTGCAACATTATCGGCTCAATCGTGAGTCCTGAAAGGAATTCAATTGAAATTGGCTGGAATTTGTGGGAACTTACCAGATATAACAGTGAATAGAGCCACGAAGAAGATGGATTGCGCGTGAGAAGACGGCATTCCAGGGTCCGACCGGAGTCCAGAATCCGGTCGTTCTTGATTGAACACGCGTTTCAGCACCACTGACAACGTCGAATTCATGACGGACCCCGTCACAAACCACAGCGCCTCCGCGTCGTGCCTCCACAGAACCACACTGCCGAACGCACCGGCCACCACCCACTTGCTCTGTTCAGCGGTACCAAACTTAATTCCCCAAACACAAACTAAAAAATTCCAACACAAATAAGCATACACACCAGGCGATTGAGGGTGGATTCAACCCCGGCGGGTCCACCGATTACGGCTTCCTGTTCCAGCCCTGCAACGTCCTCGTTAATGTTACTGCTGTCTCTAGACACAAGAGTTCTGACCATGGTTCTCTGGCACCCAACACCGGTCTCCTCCGCAGCGGAGACTGCAGAAAAGCGTAACCGATCGGGGAAATCTCGTATCTGGGTATGAAATAGAAGGGAAGAATTAGGGTTTGAAGTCAATTTCGGCGGGAATCTGAGCGTGAATGGGTGAAGAAGAACAGAGATTGCAGACATTTCTTTATCCGGGAGAAGTGGTAATGTGTTATTAAGGCTAAAGGGTGTTGAAGCTCCAAAGAGTATTTTTCGAGGGTTAATAAACTAAGAAAATAAGAATTCGAGGGTGTGAGAAAATCATGTGTAGTACTGTAGTGTGTAAAATTAGAATATTCGTTTTTAATTTTTATTACGTATTATAATATAGGCTATCATGGCAAAAACAAAAAGAAAATGATTTTTTTTTAACAGGAGAAATAGTTAAAAGTTAAAAGTTAAAAGTTAGGTTAGTACGTATTTTTGACAAGATTCAATTACTAATCAGGAGTGCAATCTACTAGCAATTTTGTTGAGCTGCAGTGACCACCAACAGACTACAACAAAGGAATGGAAAAAAGAGAATGGTTGGTTTGAAATAAATCCAATAATGGAATCAGGTCCAAGACGCTTAAACTTAATTCGCACGCAAGTGTAACTCTTAGGCCTATTTGATTGTAACTCAATTTTACTAGTAAAATTTTTATTTGGAAAGTGGTTGAAAAATTTTTGAATGAAAAGTTTTTAAATTTTATATTGAATCTTTGTTATAATTTTTTTTTGAGTTGTTATTATTATTTTTTTGTGTTTATTAAGAAATTGGCATAAAAAAATTAATAGAAAAATTTTTAAGTGAATTTCATAAAAAAAAAATTAAGGAAAATTTTTTCAAAAAAAAATGTAAGACTAATAATTTATTATTTAGGAATTATGTAAAAAATAAATAAAAAATAAAAAAGTCAATTCTATCTTTTTTTTATTATAGTACTTAAAATAAAAAAATACATAAATAATTTAAAAAATAATTTAATATGTACTTTTAAAATTTTTTTTATAAATATATATAAAAATATAAAAAAATTGACATAATTTAATATAATTACTAAGTAAATAATTTTAGAATTTTGCTTGTCATAACAAAAGCAAACGGCGGCATTACCACACCTCCAAAATGGGTTAAAGCCAATTGTAGTCCTTGTACTTTGTAAAAATGTTCATTAGCATCCCTCTACTAAGGAAATATTCAATGTCATCCCTATACTTTCCTTGTAGCATAAATTGTCATTCCTCTACTATACCTTTTTTGTTCAATGTCATCCTTAACTGGATGTCACCCATGTTCCCGTTAACTTCCGTTAAATTTGACCATTAAATGCGTAATGGCCAAACATTAACTTTTCTTTATTAATTTTTTTTTCAACAATGGGACCCTTTTTTTTTTTCCTTTGACTGTTATTTCTTTCCTTTGACTGTTATCTCTTTCTCTTTCTTCCTCATGACCATTATCCCTAAATGTAGAAACCCTTGTCCTTCTTCTTCACTATCTTCATTGGTTCACCCACTCCTCTCCTTGACTTTCCTTCACCAACTTTCCATCTTTCTTTCTTTCTTCACCATCTTCATTGTAACCCACAAAACCCTAAGCCTAAAGTTGCCTAAAATCGCTCAAAATCACCCAAGTTTGCCCAAAATCGCTGAATCCAAAATCGTGTAAAATTGCTGAAAATTAGCTTGCATTTCTTCACCTAATCATGAAACCCTTGCTCTTCTTCTTCATTGTCTTCACCAGTTCACCCAATCAATTGCTCCTCTTCTTCACCCTTCTTCACCAACTTTCTGTCTTTCTTTCTTTCTTCACCATCTTCATTGTAGCCTACAAAACTTTATGGCCAAACTTGCCCATAATTGCCAAAAATCATCTTGCTTTTCTTCACCCAATCATAGAATCACCCAACCTAAAATGTATTCAAGAAGCTATTATTAACCATGGATTTTCTTGTTGATTTTGGTTCAGTGATAACTGTCATTAATTGTTGATTTTCTTGTTGATTTTGGGTTGGTGATATTTGTTATTAATTATGGATTTTCTTGTTAATTTTGGGTTGGTGATATTTGTTATTAATTGTGGATTTTTTTGTTGATTTTGGGTTGATGATATCTACTGTGGTATTATGGATTTTGATAGAGTTAGTTTTTGTTTTATATTATTGTAGAAGGATGACATGTTGTTGGGACAAGGAGCAAACATTGATGAATGAGATCTTGTAATTAAAAAGAGATAATCTACCCTTGCAAAGAGAGTTTAATGATTTGAAGAATTTGAACTTTGGAATAGGAAAATGCTCACTGATCATGAGACAGATGCTTCAAGTTGCTTGAAATTGAAAATGTGTTTTCTTTAGTATTGCTTATTTGGCAATTAAGTTGTGTTAGATACTTGTCTACTTTTGTAAAGGGTTTTTTTTGGATCCCTTAGGTCAAGCCAAGGGCAATCTCTTATGTACTGCAAATGTGAAATGGAATATATGGCTCCTTTTTTACCATGTTAATTGGTAAAATACATAATTGGTAAAATACATCAATCTTTTGAGCATTTTCAGCTATATAAATGCAAGATTTACTAAAGTAAGCAAAAGATAACATTATAAACATTGCAATTTCATTATAAGTAACTATATGGTTGTTTAGGACATAATAGAAAAACAGGACCAAATCAAAAAATATAAAAGTGCAAAAACCAAAAAGAATAATACAGAAGCAAACACAAAAAAAAAAAAATGGTCTTACTAGCCCCATTGGTCTCATTGGTAGACAAAAAAATTAATAAGGAAAAGTTGAATATTTGACTATTACGTATTTAATGGTCAAAGTTAATAGAAGTTAATGGAAGTTAATGGAAATGTGGATGGCATCCAATTAAGGATGACATTGAACAAAAAAGGTATAGTAGAGGGATGACAATTTATATTGTAAGGAAAATAAAGGGATGACATTGAATATTTTCTTAGTAGAGGAATGGTAATGAACATTTTCACAAAGTATGAGGACTACAGTTGACTTTAACCCTCTCCAAAATGGAAAGACA